GTTTTTAACAAGCACGCATGGCTAGGTGGGTCCGAACGCGCGTGCCGACTTTGGGCCCGATCCGTCGAACCGTGCGGGAGGAGAAGCGGTCCGCGGAAACGGGAGAATTATAATAAGCCGCGGAATAAGTATTTCGAAGAGTAATACGTGGGCCTTGCCTGCGGCAAGGCCCACCTCGGTGGGCCCTTAAGGGCCACCGAGGTGGGCCATGCCGCAGGCGTGGCCCCCCTAATTAAATGGAGACATTGGACACCATCTATTGTATACTATTGTATTCTATTGTATTCTATTGTATTCTATTGTATTCTATTCTATTCTATTCTATTCTATTCTATTCTATTCTATTTACAAGGGGGCGGCAACATAATAGAAGTACAACAAACCCCAAAAAAGGACAACAAAACCTAACAAATAAAGCAAAACCATCTTTAACTTCATCATCTGGTCGGTCCAAACCGCCCCACAGACCCCCCCCCTCCATCACCACCCTCCTCCTCCTCCTCCAACCCCCGTCCTAACCCTCGCCCTAACCCTAACCCTAACCCTAACCCTAACCCTAACCCCACCTGGTTCTTGATGCGGCTGAGCTGGTCGCTCTGGGTCTCCAGCTCGTTTCCGATGTCCAGCGCCATGCTCTTCAGGTTCCCCAGCATGCTGCCCACCTGCGTCAGGTTCTCCTCCATCTCGTCCTCACGGGCGTCGTTGGTCACCCTGGGAGGGGGGGGGGGGGGGGAGGGGGGAGGGATATGGGGGGGGCAGGTGAGCGCTTAATGTTGGCGTGTTTGCGCACCTGGCCGGTTTGAATCGCAGCTCAGTTTGTTTTAAAGAGAGAAAACGCACACAGGAGCAGCTGAAACCTCAAACCAGGACTAAAGCTGCCCCCAAATTAGAAAAGATTCAGTTTGATTTTGTCAAAATGGGGAAAAAGGGTGAAACGTCAATATAAATTAACCCCATTTGTCACGTTAACAAAAACACAAAATGTGAAATTTTGTGAGTTCCAGAAGATCCACTGGCCACGTTTAATAAACACATTTAAGTTTAAATAGGTTTGTTTGATTGTATTTGACTAATTCTATATTTATCTTAAACATGTGTTTTAGTCTTTTCAATGTTTTTCATGTTTTTATCTTGTATTGTATATTATTATTATTTTTTATTATACTAGTTTATTATTATTGTCTCTTGGGTAGTATGGTATTTACACTTGTTAAAGCACTTTGTATCTTGTTTTTTGAAAATTGCACTACAAATAAAGATTATTATTATTATTATTATTATTATTATTATTATTATTATTATTATCGTACAAAATAACAAAAAGGGAAACTTAAAAAAATGACGTTCCGCCCCTTCAGTCTTTGGAACAATGGTATATTCCAGAGATCTCTAGGTGGAGCTTTTAATCAAGTTATTCACTATAATTAACTGATTGGCTGCCAAAGACGTCTATAGACGTCTTTTATGTTTTTCAACGAGAGTGTCTGGGGGACGATCTGCTAAAGCTTGTCCGTAAATATGGGCTTCTAGACAGAGTATGTAGTAACAAATTGACCCTCTAGGGGG